CACAATTTTCAAATTCAAAAGTAAATCAACTAATTTAAATTGTTTTTTTTTTAGATCCAAAGAAGTTATCTATTGTTGGTTAGTTGCTTAGTAGTTGCAGCTTCGGTGGCTAGTCCCATGTCACATGACCACAGTGGAAGCTGCGGTCATGTGATGCAAGTCTGTTCCATTTAACTGTTTTCTTTGACCAAGGAAGGACTGTGGTTGTTTCTCAAAGTCAAGGAGCCTGGTCTGGCAAGGCGATGTCTTGCCAGGCCAGGCTCCTTGCTTACGAGGACTCTGCCATTAGCACAAATGTATCACTGACAACCGTGAGAAAAGAAATAAGAATACATACAGGCGTTGCTTCTTCAAGAGTTAAACAAAGGTTTGCGGGGTTTCCTGATTTTTAGAACATCCCTTTCTCTCAGCTCATCTCTCTTCATCAGCGTGTGTTGCTAGTATCACAGTCACTCATGTACACAGCACTTCCTGCTCTACGAGTGTTTTCTATGTCAAATCAAAAGCATACACAGCACTTCCTGTTCTACAGGTGTCTTCCATGTCAAAATAAAAGCATGTAAATAAACTTTCTTTTACACAATCAACTAAAAGGCCTGGAAGGCAAAACAGGCACTGTCTCTATAACTGGCAGCAAGTCCACCTTTCTTCCCCACTTTGGTCAGCATTCGCTCAACTCTTCTAAGAAAATCTGATAGATTTTCCCCAGAGCCTTGGCGTAAGGCTCTGAAAGAGTAGTATAGGTCCTTAACGGACCCAATGGTTCTGAAAGCTCCCTCCAAGGATTCAATATAATCTTCAGGAAAAGCCTCTGGATCATTTGCTCTCACAGCTTGTGCTCTCTCTAATGACAGAGAGAGCCTAAAAGGGCCTTTTAGGCTCTCTCTGTCATTTCTCACAAGCTGAGCTTCTTCAACCACCTTCTTCCACTATCAACAGAGCTAGTTCGACCCAAGTGTCCAAGTTCTCCTCACCAGTTGGGGTTGGACTAATGCCAGAGAAGGTACGTAAATGTAAAAAAAACATTGCTCTCTGGTGTGGGCCTCATTGTCTTGACTAACAGATCTCCCACTGCTTTTATGATTGATTCTGCTGAGATTCCTAGCTATAGACCTGCAGTCTGAGAGCGAAGTGTTTGGTTAGGAACGTATGGAACAATCAGATCACTGATGTATGATGGAATTTGATTATTAAGAGCTTTATATGTGAGAAGAAGGATCTTAAAATCTATTCTGAATTTAACAGGTAGCCAATGTAGGGAAGCCAAGACAGAAGCGATATGATCTCTCTTTTTAATTCTCATCAGAACTCTAGCTGCAGCATTTTGGACAAGCTGAAGACTTTTAACTACATTCTGTGGACTTCCTGAGAGTAATGAATTACAGTAATCCAGTCTTGATGTAATAAATGCATGAACTACTTTTTCAGCATCACTCCTGGAAAGTATGCTTCTAATCTTAGCAATATTCCGAAGGTAGAAAAAGGAAATCCTACAAACTTGTGAAACCTGGGATTTGAATGACATGTCCTGGTCAAAGATAACACCAAGGTTCCTTACTTTGTTCTCGGAGATTAATGTAATGCCATTCAGGTCAGGTGATTGACTAAGTAGTTTCCTTTTCTGAAGTTCTGGTTCAAAGATGAGAACTTCAGTCTTGTCTTAATTTAAAATAAGAAAGATTAGAGTCACCCAATCTTTTATGTCTTCAAGACAAGCCTGTAATCTAATTAACTGATTGGTTCATCAGGGTTAACGGATTAATATAACTGAGTATTTTCAGCAAAACAGTGGAAGTTTATCCCATGATTTCTAATGATTTTACCAAATGGAAGCGTATATAGTAAAATAATTGATCCAAGCACTGAACTCTGTGGTACTCCACAAGTAACCCTGGAGTATGAAGAAGATTTGTCATGTACATTAACAAAATGAAATCTGTCAGACAGGTAGGATTTAAACCAGCCAATGCTGTTCCTTTGATCCCTACAATACGTTCAAGCCTTTCTAAAAGAATATGTGCATCCATCCATCCAACCAGCATTTGTTAGAGATTTTTTTCGCCTAAACCTTCAAATACTTTCAGCTCATTTTGACAGTTTATCTTGATTTAAGCTTCACTTTAGCTATTCAGCAGTTTCAGCTATTCAGCATTCAAACAGCATTTCTGCAAGAAATGCAATTCATTTAGTTGTTTTTGTTCTCTACATTTTGAAGTTCAGCAAGAGTCAAACTGTGTTTTAGTTACTATTCAGAGGTCAGGTTGACCTTTTGACTTCAATACAAATAGCATAAAGATCTAAAGAAATGTGTAGAGTTTCTTGCCTGGGCCACTAATAGAGAAATTACTCTGAATGAATGATTCGGTGTTCAACAGTAAGAATCAGACATTTGACTACTTTTGTCCAAAATCAAACCCTAATTTCACAGAAAGCATGATTATTTGTGGATTATTTTTAT